CAAAAAACTCGACATCTTAATTTGAAAATATTATCCTCTTGTAATTATTGTATTTCTTTTATAAGGAGGAAAATGAAGTAATAGTTACATCAATTTTATAATTTTAATAATTATGTAAGCTATGTCATAAAATTTCGAAATTTATAGTAGCGAAATACATACTTTAAATTAATAAACTTCTTTTAATAAATAATGAAAGTGATTAATTTAGATATAATGACAGGTAATAAGATGATTTATTATTGATATAAATTATCTAGCATATTTAATATACAATGTATGAATCCGTAATATATTATTAATCTTTTCAAAATTTATTGCTAAACTTGCTCTGTGATTTATTAATCTTCGATATATCTTATATATATATATATATATATATAATAAAAATTTAAAAGAATAAACAGTTAATAAATATAATTATTTTATACACATAAACGATTTCAGATTTTATTATAATGCTTTATTTATTTAATTAAAAAAAAAAAATTTATTCTTTTATTTAATAATACCATATAAAAATACAATGCTTCTATGAAATTCGTTCATATTATTCAATTATAATTTTCTCTATTTTTCTCATTTTAAAGTCAATACAGTATCGGTATGATAGAGGAATTTTATATTTCAAAAACAGCTCGATGAGAGCAATGACATATACTGAAATCAATTTTAGAAGGTTTATATTTATAACTAGAAAATTTTATATTACATATATTAATGTATTATATACATTGTATGTATAAATTTCTTTTTGATAATGCACAAAGCCTTGATAACATATACCTGACTAGATTTCTAAGAATTATTTTCATTCGAATATGGATATGGAATATTTATGGTATATTTACAAAAGAATTCTTCTACTATCTATTAATAATATTGTACATTGCCATAATTGCAATGTAAAACTTTGATAAATTAATAAATTGTTTATAAATTTTTGCATAAATAATAATATGAGACATTCAACTGTATTTTTATAAATGTTGATATTTATAGAGTAATCCTGTGTGATTAATTTACCATAGATAAAAATCAAATAAAAATTTATATGTATGCATAAATCTTGTTTCCTTCTTTTGCTATCAATGTGAAAACAATAGAAATACTAGAAATTTCGATAAAAATGCATTGTAATGTGAAATTCAGAAATACACGTGAAAAATAATCTTAACTATAATTATAAGTATATTAATATTATTTAAATATAACTTTAAAATATTCACTGTATAATGACAAATATTTAAGAAATAATTTGTTTACAATCTAAGAAAAACAAAAAGAACTAAAGAATATTGTTTTAAAACATTGAACATTAATTATTTAATATTGCAATGGTATTATAACAATGATATTATAGTGATTTTTAACAATACTATAATGTTTACAAATTTATATATTGATAACACAAGGGCTTCTGTAATTATTGTCTATTTGAATATTCTTTCAATAAATAAAATTGATTAAAATATCTTATAGTAAAATTAAAAAATTTTCGAATTTCTACTTTTTACGAATAAATTTTTAACACGTTATATTATTTAAATGTTATACTGTATTAGTAGGCAAAGCATATATAATTATATATCTAAATGGAGGTTCATCATTCTTTATAAGTTATGTAATTGAATTGTTTATGTTTTAAGTATAATGAAAATTTGAGATTAAAGAAAAATGGTATAATTAAACATTTCTAACTGTAATATGTTTTTTTACATAATTTTACATTGATACACTTTATGAATTCTAGGTAAAGTCACTTGGCCAATGTATCAACTCTATTTTATACGAATATCTAATGTAACATTTCAATTAGATATAACAAAATTATTCTCTATAATATTCTGCACCTTAGTAATTTTGTGTATAAAACAAATAATTTTTTATTACATAAACATATCTTATAGTCAATTGTGAAGTGTTTTCAGCAGTTGATTTTAAAAATGTAAATCTATGACAATTATATTTCATAGACGATATAAATGTTCATAAATAAGTTAACTATTATATAAATATAATGATTTAAAAAAAAAAAATTTTAATTCTTATCTTCGTTTTCATCATTTCTATGAAAGAAAAAACAATAGGATAATTATTACCAATGCACCATAAATATTAGTGCTATTAGAATTAATCAACAACGAAGTTTTACCAATACTTTTAAGTCGCTTCAGAGAGATTAAAATTTTCTAAAGAAACAAAATGTTAATTGATTAGATTAAGTTAATTAATTGTTTCGCTATCACTATCAATAATTTGAAAAAATTGGAAAATTCAATTTCAAGACAACCTACTTATCGTTTTAACTTGGTTATTGTCGACTTGTATATGTAGGTCTGTTATTAAATTTAGATTCAGACGTTGAAATATTGGTAATATATAGTTGAATACTTAAACTATTAATTAGATTAAAGAGAAACAATTTCTTAATCGTATAAATGAAACATATATTGAAAAAATGAGTCTCAGAAGAAATATAAAAAAAAAAAAAAAAAAAAAAAAAACAAAAACAAAAACAAAAACAAAAACAAAAAACAAAAAACAAAAAAACATAAGAATATAGAAGCATAACATAAAAGCATTTTTTATTAATACCAAATTAATATTGTATTAGAAAATAGCTATGTTTTTTTTTATGATTATATAAAAATATAGTCTTAGAGCTTTTCAAGAAAATAGTCTAAAGAAACTTTATTTGCTCTATACATGGCAAATTCTTGTGAACCGTCATATCTTTATATACCCGGTTTGCTTTATAGTTTATTAAATCCTAAATGGCATGTTTTATACGATTTAAAATAGTATATAAAATTATGTTGATAATTTAAGTAACAAAATAGTGAAATAATAAATATACTTTTTTAATAAACATCATATGATTAATTTTTTTTAAAACTTTATATAATTAAGTGCTTTTAACTTATGCGTGTTTATAAATCTTATTATATTTAATGTTTTATTTCATTTTCATAGTGAACATTGAATTAATTTTAATCTTAGATTGTTAAAGTCTTCGCAATATATACGTATACAATAATAATAAAAAAAGTTGATATTAATAAGCGTTATGTATTACAATATATCATTTTGAAATACACGTACGCGACATAAATTATTTACATGATGATAATTCTATCGTAATTTATTTATTGCTCTCTATTATTTCACTATGCTGCTTTTTTTTTTCTTTTTTTTTCTTTTTTTACTTTTAACATAACAAATTGAATATCATACAAATATAAATAAATAATCTCGTAGTAAGATGTTCATGATTAAGTGTAATTAAATATCTATCTTAAACATAAATTAGACTCGTATCACAATTGCACCATTGTCACACCGATAGCCAAGTTTGTAATTCATAACTTCATGAAATATAGCTTTCTCGGATAGCCATATTTTAAAAATAGCAAGGAATACAGTCTGGGCTTATTTAATTTGCAAACGTTCTTAAAAATTTTCAATTTTTGCATAATTTACGACAGTCGATGTTCATTAATAATAATAGAATGCCTAAGCTAGATGTTTTGAGTAGAAACGTGCGTATCATAAAAATATTAATAGACTATGTCATATTGAATTTGTATTTATAATCTGCTCCCTACTATGCCGGACAGAATATTTTCAATTCATTAATTGTAAAACAGCATTAAATTTGTTACGCTAATTTATTATTATTATTATTTTATATAAAAGTATACGATACAATAGATGTAATAATATTTTATAATTAATGAATTGAAATGATGACGATATACATTCAAACTCTGTCAACATTATTTTTACTTCTTTTCTTTTTTTTTTTTTATTTATTATAAGCTATATCCGTTTGACATAAGTCTAGTACTTATTAGTTAAATGTAATATATTTTATAAATCTCTTTTAATCATCGTGCATATCTAGTAATTTAAAAGGTTAAATTTATCATGAATTTATAAAAATTAATAATTATTTTAAAGCCGGCGGTAATACATAATGCTAGCTGAATTTGTATTTATTTTTATCATTTGGCGAATAAACCGATTATTAATAATTTGTCTAGTTGGGATTAGCCATAAAAAAAAATGAAAGTATTGACAATTACGTGTGAAAGTGATAGGTTGACTATTAAATAATTCGTTATAATTGGATGTACAATATGCTCAAGTTTTTTTTTTAAGTGGCGCGTACAATGTATATTTCAAGCTCAATCAATTGCCAAAAAATCGATTTTAACCTATTCGCATGAAGTGAAAATTAGCCCAAAGGTAATCTTTCCTTTTCAAAATTTGAGAATCTTGATAGAATTAAAGGACTTGTAAATTTAATTAGAAAGCATACGATTTACTATGCATTAAATGTATTTACAAGTCAGATTAATTGTGAGAAGCAAAATTCTTTGGATGAACATTTTTGTAGTAATTTCAATTATGTTTACAAAATCAATAGAAATTATTGGTTCGTTATATTGAAAATCATTTTTAAGACTTTTTAAGACTTTTGTAGGTAACAGATTGCGATCTTAATTATTAGACTTTTGCCCTAAACTCAACAGCAAATAATTTATTTCAACGTTTAGCTTCTTCATTAACACTCAATGATATTTATGATTATATCTACGACTACTCACAAAAAATATTGTGTAATGATATATTTGCAAATAATAACAGTAAATAAATTAATTTACTCCACTAAATAATTGTAGTAAAAATTAATAACGCAAAACAACAAAATTTCGATTGATTTTGAAACAAATCGAATTCTAATCTACAATATCTTCAAAATTATGGTGACAAAGCTATTACACATCTTTTTCGCAATGAAAACCCCGAAAGGCTTAAGAAAATTAAAAACTCTTTACTATTAAATAAACAAATCCTTAAAATAAATAAAAAATGAAAATCAATGTTTCATTGTGAGATGAAATTTTAATAAGAGCATAATGTCGGATATTGCGACTTCCTAACAAAGTAATTAAATAGAGCTGTTTATGATTTTTAATGGATCATTAACTTACGTTGAGCCCGTTCATAAGCGCCTCTTTATCTCCTGCTGGAAGTGGCGTGGACCAGTCAACGAATACAACGAGTGCTACTATTGCGCAAGCGACGATTTTTAAGGACATCATTTTACCTATCTGAAAGCAAATAAAGGTTTTTAATCCCTTAGGTAGTGGCTGCTCGTGTAATGCCACTTCGGCTTCTGTATTATTAATTTGGTAAAATGTATACGTATACGAAATAGCAAGTGCAATCTTGCATTTTCTTCTACTTAAAAGAGTTTTCCGGGATAAGGCTTTTCTCGCGGCAAGTGAGAGACTTTGCTTGAGAAGTGCGGAAATTTTTGTGGCGGCTGCTTATAATCAACATAGACCCACAGTCGAAGCCGTAAATTTTATGGTACGCTTAAACTTCGATATTAAGTTTAATTTGTTTTTTTTCCCCTCTCGCGTTTCATCTCTACTAAGAATGATTTGGAAAATAAAACGGAGCATAAAGGGAAATTGACCGGTCACTGCTTTAACAGCTAATAACGAGAAAAGTGAACCATTTAATATTATCTTAACCATCTTATAAAAATAAGATTTCTCAAACGTTAACCTGCGCCAATCTTATTTTTAGATAAGCCCCGCAGGATCTAAACCTTCTCCTTTAACCGTATGATTATTCTATCATTGAAAAACATTATGTATCGATGTATTAAATGTTCGGTACATTTTCTTTTAACTCTAAAAGCTCTAAAACGTGTCTTTAAGTGCATGCTACATAATATTATAAGAAATATCCGAACTTAAGTAATTTAATCAATGTACAATATGATAATGCAGAATAATATTCAACTTATTTAGAAGCAAGTTACAATTACTTTGAATTACTAAAGTCATTAAGGGTATGATTCAATTTAAAAAATTACTTGTATTACAATGAAATTTATGAAAAAAAATTCGACTTCAATTTGATATCGCAAATAGCGATAATCCCGTTTGTTAGAATATACTCGTAAAAAAAAAAAGAAAAAGAAAGAATTAATATATATGTTGTCCGCGCATATAATAAATAATCTCAAATCAACCTTGTTATTTTCAACTGCGATGAAAATCAATATTTATAACCAACGATTTACGCATTTATTATTATCATTTATGGTATGGCTCATTTATGGCCACATTTATATTTAATATTCGTTTGTTCGTCTTAACTTATTTATTTATTTATTATTATATTTTTCATTTTTTTTTTTTTTTTTTTTTTTTTTTTTTTTTTTTTTTTGCTTTTATGTCCTAATTAATGCTTTAACTATAAGACTTTAATTCGAAAAATCTAAATTAATGGGTACTGACTATCAGAACATTGTGAGTAGAAGGGCTGATGTAAATGATATCTAAGAGTACTTGTTGTTCAACACTTCGAGATTGATCTGTCGATACTTACGTGGGGTTCGAGAAGGGAGATAATCACTGGTGTTGGTTTTACTTTGTATATCTGCCAGTTACAGGATATGCTAGAAAAGATAAGGGTAGCAACAACTATTACTTGAATCTTACAAGAAGGGAAAGTTATCCGATACGAGGAAGAATCAGTTTTATCTTTTATTATTCATACGATCAATAACTCTATGAATAGTTTGTAATGATAAAGAATAAGTTATACTGAAATTTTATAAGACTCTTCTACTTTTCGATGTATGTACTTAGTGATATAGTGAACGATTTTTCCCTCGTTTCCAATACAATTGCAAAATTAATAATAAATATTGATATTGCTGCTAAATATACAAATCTGTAATTTTAATTATAATTAACAAGTGGACTTAATCCTTTTTTTTCGAACAATTTTGAAACAATATTTTCAATTTGTTTTCCAAATATTTGATTTATTTCACTTAAATTTTACATTTATTTTGCATGCTTAAAGATATTATATGGCAATATTTATTTAAATACATGCCAACGTTTATAGGAAATGGTGATAATTTATTAATTTTCTGACGATTGTAAAGTTCGCGTACTTTCTCTTTTAAGCGCCTATAATTGATATATGCTTTAAATATTTTCTAATATTTATAATCTAAGAATGTCGGACATTGTCTGATCACAATGTGACACATGTCTTTGACATTCGAATTTGTTCTTATCACATTATGATTTTATAAATCTCATAGTTCAATAATAATAGTACTCTTGATTAAAGAAACTTTTCCAATTTTTACGTAACTTCGTAGTTTAAAAATTCTATATAATAAATTATTTATAATTTATGTTCATTTCCTGGTCAAAGTTTATTTTTTGTTTAAAAACAAAAAATTTTCTTTTACACTTATGGTAAAACTTTGACAAAATTAAACATTATATTTTATATATTGTATATGGATTTGTTAGGATTAGATAATATATAATAAAAAAAGCACTTTATAATAAGATTTATTTTAAAAATATTTAACAAATTAATTTATAAAGTAGAAGTACAGAAGTTTATTATAAAATAAAGCTCTAAAGATCAATTACAATTAATAATAAAAAAAGATGAATATTGATAAGAACATTGATAAAAATTAATAAAAATTTAATGATCACTGACGCGCAATATGTTTTACTTTTATAAATGTTAATGATAATAAGGTTATTAATGTTTAAATTGAACTGACTAAATTTTTATAATTTTCCAATGCATTCATTAATGCATAATTTCATGATTGTCTTATGTGTAAATGGATACCTTGTACTGATTATCTCATACTGATAAAAGAAAAAGAGTTATCGTGAAATCCTACATAAGAATATTCGTGAGCAAGAGAAGTTTTAATGAAATTAACAATTTATGATCAACAACTTAAATAAGAATATAAATAAACAATAATTTCTAAATAATAAGTGTACACTGGAAGTGTACTGTTATAAACAACAATACGCAACTGTTTGTGCACCTTATTCATATTAGGATATCCAAAAATATTAAATAATTTTCTTATTTATACGAAATCACTACTTTTATTAAGTAAATAAAAGAAGTTGTAAGATGATATCGTAACTTACTTATCAGATTTTATATTTTTCACATAATCTTTCATATGAAACATACAATTTTTTAAAACGAAACTTTTTTATATTCTTCACAAAATAATATTTTCTACTATTTCGAAAATTATTTAAATTTAAATTTAAATAATATAAATATATTCATTATATTTCTAATACTAATTTAAAGTAACTCGCAATGGAAACTATTTAAGAAAAGAACTTAATCAAAACTAGAACAAAGGATACTTTTGATTTTAAATGTGTACACTGTTACACATTTTATATGATATATATTTATATGTATATATATATATATATATATATATATATATATATGTGCGTGTGTGTGCGTGTGCGTGTGTGTGTGTGTGTGTGTGTGTGTGTATGTATGTATGCGTGTTACATTTTATTTTGAAACGAAAATATATTACAAGTCTATTTGATATCATAATAATTGAACAATATCATAAAGCATAATAAAAAAAATTAAACAACTAATGTAATGTTATGGTATGGATGAATCTTTTAAAATAAAAATTAAATCAAATAAAAAAATATATTATTAATTTATTTTTCAATTTTCAATTTAAAATTCTAATCATTTACGGAATATAAACCTTAAAATAGTATTCCTTTATTAACATTTAAAGAAGTTTAATTTTTTTGTAGAAAATAAAACGAAAGGGTTGGACTTAATTTAATTGAAATTTATATGAACAAAAAAAAATGTTTAATACTTTAATACTGTCGTATGAAAATATTAATTTTTGAAAGTTGCAAACTCTCTGCAAAAAAAGTTTACTCTCACTGAAAATTGACAAAAATTATTGAAATATTGAAATATTTTATTAAAGTACTGGATTTACCGTTACTTCAAGTATTATTTTTATTTTCATTATTGAAAGCACTTCAGAATGTTACTAAAATAAATATACAAATTATTTATGATGATTTATTAAATAATTATATTCCCCTTTTTTATTTTATAAAGAAATAGTTTTTTAACGCAAAAGTTTTCTAAAGAAATAGTTAATTAAACACCTGATGAAATATAAAGCGTATATGTGCACAATAAATACGAAATTATTTTGTGTTTTTTGTTATGTGTATCTTTTTCTTCTTCATTGAATCGAAATCAATGCTTCGCGTATGTTGACTCACCATATAACTTATTGATAAAAGCTAAAATCTTATCGATACAATTCATTATAAGAAAAACATATTCAAATTGGTCGAGCAAAATTTTTAACTTTTATTATCATACTAATTTTTTAGGAAATTAACTTACATGTCATTTTAGCTCGGAACAAACATTGATAGATAAGAAGCAATATTTTAATTAAATTCGATTATAATAATAGTAAGGTATGTTTAAGAAATATTGATAATAAAATGCGGATAACACGAAAAAAAAATATTTATTTTCTGCAATAGAACTTCAAAATAAACACCATAAACATTAACAAATAGATTGCATAATATCTTGTTTTTAATAAAGTAATTTTTATTAATTTTATCATAATAATTTAACACTAGTTGATAATTTTTATAAATTTTGATATAATAAAAATTGTTATTATTGCATCGTATTTTATGATTTCCATTATCTACGTCTTTAATTATTGTTTAATCTCATTTTTCTTTCGTTTTTTCAAATTATAATAACTGTGATTTTACCAGAAAAAAGACATCATAAGAAGAATGAATTGTAGAAAATTTTCTAGTTTTTATTAGTTATGAAAATTAAAGTTCTGCAGCTTCAAAAAATGTATTTGATTGTTGATTTTGAAGGTTAAGTCTTATCAAGCCTTAACTTTAAATAAAAATACAAATTGTCTACGCCGGTTTTGGATTGTAATAAATATAAAAATAAATGATTATCATTATTATATTATAGTTTTTATATTATTATATTATTATAGATGAGTATCACCGTTTCTTAAAACTACACGAGCAAAGCTGAAGCTTACTATACAAAGTGAGGAAATTGAAATTGTGATGTGAACGATGAAAAATTATGCTCTAACTCCATAATGGAGTACGGTTTCTATTAAATTTCAATCGTAACTTAAATGCCTCTATTTTTAAATATTCATCTCAAAGCATCAAAAATCAATCTATTTTCAAGCACGATTTATAAAAAAAAAAAAACATGATAAGCAGAATAGCATCACACATATGCACAGTAAGTGATTTACTTTAACAATCTTGTAAAGAGATATCTTAAGATCAACAAAATTACATACGTTTAATGATAAAAAATACTCTGATTTATTTTTATTTTCGATATTAGTTTTGTCAATTAATATTTTTTTAAGAAAGATAAAATTTGAAATTTTTAAAAGTCTTATATTATTATCTTAAATTAGTTATTTAATCTAACAATATTCACAATTTTCTTTCCAAATTAATGTTTTCATAAGACTAGTAAAATAATACGCAAGCGCTGATTGTATTTTAAATGCTTAAAACTTTAAGTGAAATTATTTTTTCATAATATTAAAAATTGATATTTCCTATATTGAGTAAATTTAAAATAAATCTCACTGTTGTTTTTTTTTCTTTATACGAAGAAGCGACAGTACAGTAGAGACATTCTACAAAAATCTTTATTTATTAAAATATCGAGAAATAATATTGAGCTATGTTTAATGCAAATATTTTCAAATTCTTCTGGCTCTAGCTCATATTTAAAGTAGAAAAATATTAACATATAAAAATTGGAATATAAATAGCTGGAATTATAGTATGTTTAGCATATACTGATAGATGCATTTCTTTGATTACAGTAAGATACATGGTTTTATTAAAATATTATAAATACTACATTTCAATTGTAATTAATAGGAGAGAGAAAATAGAAAATTAATATTGTGTGTGTTTGTGTTGCGTATATACATAATACGTATGCATTTTTGAAAAAGAAATATCAAGATATTAAAGTATTATATAATTTCGTTGATTCTTTTATAAAAAATATTATTTTCAATATTCTATTAATGCACAAAGAAACAAATTTCATAAACAAATTAATTTCTTTAGTTTATAAACTATACCTTATTACTAACGTCATGGTTTATTAATTTTTCTTTTTTTTTTTCGGTAAAGTGCTTGCTTGAAATCCTAAACGACCCATAACTAATGCATTGAACTGTAATCATTAAAAGTTCGGAATAATTTTCATGAAAACTTTTTCGAAAAAAATTCAATTTATTAATGAATCATTTACAATAAATAAAAACTTAGTATATGCATCAAGTATAAATTACAATTATGCATGAATATTAAAACTACTTGAGATGTGCATTAAATAACAAAAATGATAATCAAATATTAGGATTTGATATGTTTAATTTGGTGAATAACGTCAAATAAATTCAATATTTGTTAAGAAATTGAACTATTTTTTTAATATTCGAAGATCTTGATAGATTTTCTATCTGTAAATGGAGCAAATAACGGTAATAAAGAAGTGTCACCTTCAATGTAAATAAGATCTTGTCAACTGTAAACAATGGTAACCGCTAAAATCGATCGACTGTTTTCAATTTACTTCCGTAATTGTTAAAAAAAAAGTATGAAGTAATGTGTAAAAATATCAACAACAAAAAAATTATATATAAAATAAATGATCAGTTACTATACTCCATTAAAGCAGAAAAACTAGGGTAAAAATATCTCGATGCATTGAAAAACAAATGTAAATTAATTTATCATATAATTTATATAAAATTACATATATTAGGAGATTATCACATTAATTGAAAACACTGTAATAAAATATTATTCTAATAAAATAATTAGACTTTGATCGCGGTATAATTAATTGTAAGATAATTGCAAACTGAGTATTATGAAAAATTTATAGTTTTCTTTAAAAATAAAAATTATAAAATATTATCATATTTATACATCTTCTCGATTCGGTAATGAAAAAATATACAACATTACTAAAATTTTATTAATAAAACAAACAAACAAATAAACAAACAAATAAACAAACACATATACGAAATAAACAAACAAACAAACAAAGGGGATCAAGCGATGTATGATATGAATTTATTAACTATAAAATTCTTGCCTATTTCGATGTAAAATTTACGTAATATAATATTGCAAGAATAATTTTTGCATTTCAAATCCCAATTTCTTTAGTTGGAGCCATTTAAATTTTTTAATACTATAACTGATACACACACACACACACACGCGCGCACGCACGCACACACACACATACACACACATATATATATATATATATCATATTTAGAAATTAATACATTGATTTTTATACTTTTAACTTTTTTCACTATAACATGTAATAATAACACCTAATTTGAGAATTAATTATCCACAATTAACAAATAAATTAAATTCTCAATGAGTTCTAGTTTACGATACAACGCTTAAGCTTAAATATCGGATGTCATGCACAGGATCCACTTTAAAAGTAATTACATACCAAATGACATATGATACCATAACAACATTAGTTTTTACATCTTCTTCTTAGATACAGTGTTCACAAAGCCATTGTCGTCTTAAAATCGACGAACACTAAAGTAACGAATTTAGCGATCCTGGGAGGCACGTAGTACAGATAAAAGTAGCGCAACAGACATAAAGTGGATTAAAATGCACGTGGACATTTTAGTGGCGGAGGAGAAGAGACAGCAGGGGCGAGCAATCACTATAAACAGATCAGCCGAAGGATAAAAGTAACATAAGAGAGAGGAGGATGAAGAGCTGATTAAAGTAGATATATAGCAACTCACTGGATGCGTCGTAAGGGCCGGTAATTTCAAATCGGCGATCTGACAGGTGGCTCGGATTAGCGGCGGATAATCGGCGAACGAGGACGAGCGATATATATATATATGTGTGTGTGTGTGTGCGTGTGCGTGTGCGTGCAGTGGGTGTGTGTGTGAGTGTGCGCGCGCGCGTGTGTGCGCGCGTGTGTGTGTGTGCGCGCGTGTGTGTGTGTGCGGGAGTGGGATTATAGCGAAGGCCGGTAGATTGTGAAGGCTAGCGCTGTTTAATGCTGTCAAGTCGGAGACTCGATGCCAGTGTGACTGAGCTTGCAAGCACGCGACCACTTTATATCCGAAGCATGAACCACTGGTGGCGACTCTCCTGCTCCTAGTGATGATGGTGGTGGTGGTGCTGGTGGTGGTGGTAATCGGCGAATGTGCTGCCCGGCGCCCGCGCAGCTCCCGTCCAAAGTAAGACTCGCCCTTGCAAGCAGCAGCTCCTCGCCCCCGCACTCGCGCAGGGACGCGCCACTTTGACTCGGTAGTCGCTTAATAGCTCCGATTGGGCTATGAGACACTCGAGTCTCCTTCCCCTCGAATCTCGACCCAAGCACGAATGATCCAGAGACAGTCGTTGCTTCGTTTAGCCCTTCCTTGTCTTTTCTTTGAAACTTGTTCGATAATCATCTTGGCGTAGTAGCGTCCATTCGACGGTTCGTTGTATCATCTGGACCGCGAGCTTCGTAAGGTACGATAGAGTTTACCAATATTTTTCTATTATTTAGAATTATCCGTTAACCTAACGACTAACTACCATTGGTTTTCAATTTTCGACAAATAATGACAACCTCAGCATACCATGCTAATGTCAAAATTTCATTAACTTAATCATTCTAATGTGTCGATGTTAATTGCAATTTTTAACGTCGTTACACCCCCAATGCATTACTATGAAGGGCCGACAAATTATAAACTGCAAAATTACATGAAGTACTTACACGTTGGGTATAATAAATCAATGCTTGTATATTATAAGTATACATATATGAATAGAGACTTCAAGTTATTTGCACATTAATAAAGTCATTTATTATCCGAAACATGGGTATTCTCAAAAATTAATTATACTGATGCTTAAGCTCTCTACTTATCAATCTTGATCATGATAAATTCTTCGTTTATTATATATATTCGGAAAATTCATGCACGTAGTGGTAAATTTTACTTACTAATGATTGCTTAAGAGGCGGTAAGAAACGCATATTAGTAGCAACTTATAAAATTCCAGTCCCTGTAGAAGTGGCGGGAACTCAGGCGACACTGTTGCAGCTGAGACGCGCCATCCTTTAAGAGTCGTCATAAACGAAGCAGCAGGATACGAAGTTCTGGTTAGGCACGATGAGCACTAGCACGAATGGAAATTGAAAATTATTAGTGAATCTCGATGGGATGTATGTACGCTCGTCGATTCGGAAATCAAACCAAACGCACGCCTATGTCGTGGCTTTTATCCGGGATGGAAGGGCTCTACGACTTTACGATTGTAAAATAATTTCTTGCTCTAGATTTCTGGTGTGCTTTGCACGTAAATTCTCATCTTTTTCAAATTTTATAAGATACCTTGCATTTATACAACGATATTCTAGATTTTTTTACACGTTGCTTCATGATTAATGAAAACTAATTATTTGCGGCCATGCATATATCCTCATAAACATTTCAATCTTCCGAATTCTTCAATAACATTTTTACACATACATAATCTAATCATTAGCTACATTTTCATAAAGTTAAAACCCTCGAGAATAATATTGATTTTTCTTTTTTTTTAACTCTTCTCTCGATTTTTTTTTCTTTTATACAAGCAAGATTTAGTTGTAAATGTTATAAAAATTAAAAATTAGAATAAAAAAAGAAACTGTCAGAAACAAACAATGATACACACAGAGTTCAATGCTTCTGAAATTTAAATCTCAATATAGGAGATCAATTATTAAAATTTACGTATTCGTGTAAATTAAGTACAATTAAGAGCGCACACTAAGGAAAATTTCCTCGATTAACTTCCCACAGTATTATGGATATCGAAAAAAGTTTAATTAAAAGACAAATTTAAGAAAAATGATATGAAGAAGTGTAGTTGTAAAATTAATGCCCACTTTTCGACGAATTTGATAAGGAAATCCATAATACTTTAACCCTGATTCTTAATTTTGGTTATGAAAATTTATAGTTTAGAGAGAAATATGAAAATCCACCACCTGTCAAACCACCTTTACAGTCAAAAATTCTCCAATTCACTTAGCAAATATTTTCGCATAGATATTAGTTTTTATATTCTACTCAATTACAAATCAGCACATTCTACATGAGTAATTTCTTTATAATTTATGGTTTATTGAATGCCTGTGTTATGTGTGTTCTCGGAATAATTTTGAGTGCTTTAAATTAGAAACTCTTTCAGTACTAGAGAAATTTTACATGTATTATTGCATAATATTTATCTCAAAAATAGAAGATTACCAGAATAAGTTATAGGATAAATAAATCATTATTCTATACTAAAAAATAATCTCTTAAGATTCATGAAAATCCTAGAACTACAGACTTGATACTTACTTTATTAGGATTGTTTGTAAAAACTTTATCCATAAAGTTGCAAAAAATCTCTTTGAAAAACTTTCCTACATTTTTGGTAAAAAGAATCATTTTGTATTTAATATATTTCCTCGGAAAAATGAATAATAATATTACAAGATCGCATATATATATATATACAAATACAAATATAAAAACCCACATTTATTTTCATATAAATTTATAATTATAATTATATGTATTGATGACGTAATAAATCACTATTTGAAAACTTTAATTTATATACGAAAAAGAATATTTAATTCTGTTTTTTAAATATTGAATGAGATATAAGCATCACATAAAATTGAGAAAAAATAAATGAAATGCACATACTTTTGATTATTTATGATTTTCCATGTATTTCAATATTCTTATATTTTTTATTTTTATTGAACGTAAAAATATAAAAAGAACATTATTAGCGTAAAATTTTATGACTAAAACTATGATAAACGATTGGAATATAGGTACTCGAGTAAAAGCAGAATAATCAAATTTGAACGTACTTTTTCGAAATCTACGCTTAAGTAAAGAATAGTAGAAACAATTATTTTCATGAAAAATTTGGTATGGTTCTTTTGGAAATTCATGTTATTAGTTATATCAAACAACTATATTGAATTAATAGTATTGACAGTCAAAACATAGTTGAAAGAAACTTGACCTACATGCTATTCAATTTTTCATTGGAAGAGAAAGTTAACATTAGATTTTAAGTATAAAATTATCTTTAATTATCTAATTAAAAAATCGTTTCTCAATTTATAATTTCTTCTTCATATGACATAATATTTTAAATATTTATTATAAAATTTTTGCTATCACATATATAACTATTTCTATTTGTAAGGATAAAAAAAAATCATTATTCGCTGTAAAAGAATAATTTCTTTTGAATAAGAAGTTTATACAGGACTAAGAAAATAATTTATGAATACGTAATCTAAGTTATCACTTTACGATTTATTAAAAGTAATTTGAATATTAGAAAGTTACTTAGAATAACTCGTACATATTGTTTTTTATACTTAAAGTTTTCATATTTGAAACAACAACAATAAAATCATATACTGCTATCAAGTAGCTATAAAAAAATTCATGTAATTCAAATGAAATATGAAAATTTTTAGATTTTTTTCTTTTAATAATAATAAGTAATTTTATTTAATTTTCATACACGTACAAGTATAATAATTTTTCGCCATTAATTAATGTGTATAAATTTTCTTTCTACATTTAATATTTTACAATATAAAGCATAAGTTTGACTTTTTTATATCTGAGTAAAAATATTTATTTTGAAAGTTTTATTATATTTAATGTTTTAATTTATTTATATCTACGTTTCTTTTTGAAATATTATACTTGGAATTCGTATAAGAATTTATTGTAAATTATTGTAAGTAATGATGAGATAAAATTTAACTGCTTGATTATTGTTTATACAAAATTTTAATATTTTTTGGTTTTCACGGATGCTAAGAAAAAAACTCATTTCAAATTAAACTGCCTATAGTAATATGTATATAAAAGTTTTTCAAAGCATATAAATAAAGATTACTAAAATAATAATACATAAGCATCAATTAAAACATTGTTCGTATTGATAATTTCTTGATATAACATAAAAGAAAACGTCATATTAAATTTAATTGAAATTAATCTCTTCACTAAACGCTCACTTGAATAGTCTATTCAATTTATACGTAAATTGAAGTATTATCTTTGGCTTGATAATCTTAATATAAATACAGAATACCAATGATGATTAATTTCAAGAATATTAAATAACAACTAATAATGCTTCTAATAAATTGTTTCTGCTAATTTGATAATAATTTCAAAGGAAAGTTTTTAAAAGGGAACAACAAATAAGTGTTTAAAGCAATCATCCTAAAAGATTAATAAATGACAAACGCTTTCGCGAATGTGAATATATAAAGTGAAATAAAATAATTCCATTGTTATTTAGTTATTTAAAATAATTTTAAAGAACTCGTTTGATATTTTAATTTACACAATTTTAGTATATCCGGTACCATCGCTTATTACTATAAAATATAAGTATCATAATGACCATGTTTTCGCATCTTGAATGAATCTTTTTCATTCGATTATTTTATTGTGATCATATCATCATATGTATCCTCTTCGGGTATTCCTCTTTTAATCATCTTTTTGAAAATACTATTTATATTACTATAGAGATCTAATATCAAGTATAAAAAGCTGAATCGGCTGACGTTTTACTTCGGTTTCAAAGAAATGTTTTTTTTACATTTTATGATTACCTTGTCAACACGTGTCAACAACTACTTACGTCTGTAGTACTTCTCTGATCAATGGCATATTTTCCTTTCATTGTGGCAATACTCGTGGGATTTTTGTGTACGAAAATGCTAAAGTATTGACTTACCTTTTCGTTTCTTGAGTCTCGAAACAGAGGCTCTGCATAAAAAAGCAAGAAGTATCTTTACAAAGGGAACAAAATTTCTGAATTATTTTACACTTAT